ATTGATGCTGGTTTGAAGGCAAAGGGTGTTCACACCAAATATTGATTTGATTTAGATTACTCTTTTGTTCCTTCACTGCATTTTATTGACTGATGAAAAAAATTATTAACACTTTCATTTTTGAAAGCATTCTTTGTTTACAGATTTTTTTCACACCTGCCTAAAACATTTGCACAGTACTGTATATACACCCGTATATATAGACTGAGGGAGGGAGACAAATTAACACGGAGGAGCTGAACTAAGACACAAAAAGACAAATACTAACGTAAGGGAAATAGACAACAACACACGGGAAACATAACACAGGAACTAAGAAACCAACCAAACACAAAGGAATGAAATGTGTCTATACCTTAGTGACAATGATGAACACAGAGAAATGAACGCAATATGGGAAGGCCTTTTTGAACACAATAAACATCAGGGCAATAATGAGATTACAAACACACATGAAAACCAAAACAAAACACCCAAGGATTATAACAAAAACAGGGTTTTTTGTTATTTACTCAAGTTATCTTTGAATGATGTTAACATTTTATGATGATTTTTATGAGGGAATCTGAGGGGACAAACACTGTTTCACAGAACTGTACATTCATGCAAAACTTCCAGATCAAATTCCTTTCACTCTGTAAGACGATTCTTCTCACAATGGAAGGTTTTCAAGTCTTAATTGAACTCTCAACTGTATCTCTTTTTATTTGATTTTCATCTCTGAGCCAAATCATTTTAATGTGATTCAGGGGCCACACCCCATAGCAATAACCATAATAAGGTCAGAACTTTAGAAAGACACTTTAATATCAATGTCTGAGTTAAGTTTAAACAGATAAAATCAGTTTTAATCTAGTGAACACTGATGTTATTATTCAGATGTAAAAAACCCATCACAATTTTAAACCTTTCTTTAACACTGCAAAATTAATGCAGCCGTGTGCCCCTCTATCTGTATGTAGGTAGCTTTGCTCTGCTTTCACAGAGTGATGGAAAGGCCTTGAAGCAGGACCATTTACTGTGTAGTTCCCCTCCAAACAACTAAACTCAACACTAGTATTATGCAGTTAAATGTGAGACCTTCCAGTAGAACTCTTCTGAGAGGAACTCTTTTGTGGGATGACCCTTTGTGACCTCTTTCTCCATCAGAAAAACATGTATTAATGAAGGTTGCTCTGAAATATACAAATGATGACAAAAGGGTGTTTAGCCAACTCTTCCTTTTTAATGGTCAGGACGTTTGCCAGTTTTGGCTTTTGTGGGAAAATATGACCTAAGCTGTGACCGACCGCAGAGAGGGTGTTAAAAAGGCCCGAGCAGAGACAGACATGGAAGTACGGTAATATGAGGTGTTTTATGATACCACCAGGGGATGGCCCGATAATCGTGAAATACTGTAGCAGCGCTGGGGCCAGAAAGTTAGCCTTCAAGAGCCTGGGTAGTGTTTCCCATCACTGGATTGTAAATTATTCTGGCAGGTGGGCTCTAAATTGAGGGCCACACAAGACAAAGGATCAAACTGAGAATTGGCCTCTACCTATAAACACATGGCATGGTCATAACATTCCAGAGCATTTCACAAATTAGTCTGGTTCATATGTTGAAGGTTGACCACAATGGAAAGACCATGAGTACTCTTTAGGTTTCCGTATGATGAAAAAAAGTGCATAAGTGTAATTTAATGTTGGTAGAGTGGATTTACTTATTTCACCTTGAAAAAAACAAGATGATTTATATCAGACTGTCCATCTTCTAGCAAGAACAGTGAAACAACTACAATACCTGAAAGGCCCAGTCTGTTCTGATCTGTTATTTGATTCATTCAAAAGTATTTTCTTAGTTTTTCTTTTAAATAGAAGAGGTCCCCTTAGTTTTCACTTTACATGTGGAAAAAAATTGAAAGCCTCAAATTGAAGTCAAAAGGCAGATTTCATTAGCTATTCAAGATTACCTTTAAACTATATCAAGATATTTTAACCTCAAAATTTAGACGTTCAGATAGAAGAAAATACTCACATGAACACTCAATGTCTTTGAATTATAGTGTTGTTGTTTTTTTGTTTTATATCCCTGAGGTCCTTTTCTTGGAAATGGATTTAACTTGAACACTTTCTAAAGTGTAAACATATCATCTATGTTCTGTTCTCATTCGATTTCAGTGACCCATTTACAGTGAATATTAGAAGTGAAATGATACATCCTCCTCATGAGATAAGACAACGTATGACTTTAGGGCCACGAGACGTGATTTTGACAGGACTATTGGGACAACTTGGTCAGATTTGTATTTCAGATACAGAACAAAGGCGTCATAAATATCGAACTGTGTTTTAGAGAATCTCTGTTCAGCGCAGAATCGTCCAGTTCAGGTCTGACAACTCTAAGCATTTTAGAATTTGAACTAAAGATGCCTATCTACAGTCCCTCAGAAATAACTCTTTCGTTTAGCACCAATCACAAGCTTTAAAGCAGATGCAAACTTGGGCGCAGTTAGCAGCCAACAGTTAGTCAGCCTGGGTATTCTCACCATATATACAAATTATTTGCATTGTAGTGCATGGATAATGTATAAAGGTAATGTCTCACTAAAGCTTACAGTAAGTTTTAAAAATCCAATCGGTTTCATTAAATAAATTTTTATCAGTCCCAGATCTTTAAAATCTCTCTTTGAGGGGTTAAACTTGCTTTTTCAGAGAACTTAATCTACGGCCTTTATAAAAGGAACGAGATTAATATATATAAAAAAAAAATAATTATTTTTAAAATCACAATAATAATACTTCAGTTATAAACTCAAGTATTCAAGTGCTCATAGTGTATCCATTTACTAACAGAGTCAATAATTTAACTATTAGTAATCACAGTAATATAATAAATGAATTAACAAATTATATGATATATATTATGAAAGGAATTAAAGAATGAATGTTGAAGTTTCCCTTAGATAAAGATCTAGCCTTATCACATGGCCTCGCTGTGGCAAAATTAAAATTTTCTGAATACCTTACTAAACTTTAGGAAAAGTTGGGAAGAATTTAGAGGAGGGTTCCCAACAGAGGAGGCCCTGCAGGTCAGGTGCCAAAAAACAGCCTTATCATAAGACAAGGCAGGTGGTAGGTCCGTTTGGGTCAAACGCTGTTTGATTTCCTGCAGCCAGCTTGGGCTTCTGCTCCAAGTTCTGTCAGGCTCTTAGGCTTGTCTCTCTGGGCTTGAAAGTGTCATCACCCATGGTTGACATAGTTGCTGTCCTCCCTACTCTGAGGCTGGAAGCCTGTTGGACGATTTGCTGTTTCTCTCTTTGGAATTCAGACTTCAATTGTAAGCAATGCAAGAAACTATCTTGCTGATAGATGAAAGTAAGTTACAGTGAATTTAAACAATGCAATTGATTTTTAACCAAGTTGAACCAGGCTCGGTTAGTTTATTTGTGCAGCAACTTGTTCAAACTAAAACAGCAATCAAAAAGCACTTCAGAAGTATGCATGCTCACTTGAGACTTGAGCAACTGATTCCCGTATTATGCGGAGTGTAGGCGGCTGTTCCAAGAGACCATTGGAGACAACCTTTCCAATTTGGGGTGTGCTGAGTGTGCTTCTTAGAATGTGGCAAGCATGCTCCAGTGGGTGTGGGCATTTTGTTTAGGTAGGAACCAAAAAGTAGATTTGTTTGCTTCTGTTAAATGCTCTGCTTTGTAGGGAGGAAGCTGAAGAGGGAGCAGGAGGAGGAGGGAATTTGGAGAGAAGGTTGAGTGGTAATGTGGAGCAGGGGATGGCTAGGGGGTGGTTTGGTTTCACTAAGCCAGTGAACTAGAGATGATATTTTAGGGCAAACATATGGCTATCATGATTGAATCACAAATGTAGGGGAATGAGGATTACCATTGCCTTCAGATTACTGAGGGTGTTTCTTTTGCCTGTGAGCTATCTGAGCAGTGTTGGTGTGTCTTTTTGTGACTTAGAGTAGGGTTCAGAGAGTTGGGAGAAAGTTATGTTTTAAGGAATAATTCAGTTTCTATTCTACAGAACTCTACAGAAACTGTAGGGGGGGGGGGGGAATTTAACCCTACAGCATAAACCTGCCTACTGTCACTGCTGCTGGCAGAAACTGGCATTTTGTTCACTCAGTTTTAGAGAACATCTTAATGTAAATTATTTAGTGTCCAATGTGATTTGAGGTGGTTGAGGTAAACTGCCACAGAATATACTTTATGTCAACCCGTGACCCCCAAAGAGATTTTTCAGTTTTCAAGTGTGTGTGCGCGCAACTGTGTGTTTGAGAATGGGACAGCTTTTGGAAACCAGGGGCTCATAAAATGAACAGGATTTATATGGAGTGAACAGTATGTCCACAACCACTTCTGAGTTATGTGTCCAGTGGAGGCTTGTTCTCGGTCACAAAGCAGGGAGGGGCGGCAATAAAATTCTATAATCTGACTTGTGGTTAGCTGTTTCATTTTTTTTTCCTTCTAGTTTACGGAAAACCTTAATATGGTATGTATGCAGAATTTAATATCATGTTGTAGAATGTTATAACGTAACAAAATTGAGATAAATTTACAAGTAAAGTATGGAGCACAAAACAAATCAATCATTATTTCGAAATATTTGTGTGATGGTTGGTACTCATCATTCAGTCATTTTCTATACCGCTTCTTCTTCCATAGTGGGAAGCGGGGGACGGGGGCGGGGGGTGGTGGGTTTCTGGGTTTGGTCTGGTGCCTATCTCCAGCAGTCTACAGGTGAGAGGCAGGGTACACCCTGGAAAAGGTCGCCAATCAATCGCAGGGCAACACAGAGACATACAGGACAAACAACCATGCACACACTCATTCACACCTAAGGGCAATTTAGATAATTTCTAGAATCTGGCTTTTGGTTAGCTGTTTCAATTCAACCTCAGGGCAATTCAGAGAGACCAACAAGTCATATTTTTGAACTGTGGCAGGAAGCTGGAGTACCCGGTGAGAACCCACGCATGCACGGGCAGAACGTCCAAACTCCATGCAGAAAGACACCCGGCTGGGTGTCGTACCCAGGACCTTTGCATTAAAAGGCAACAGTGCTACCAACTGCTCCACCATGCAGCCCTGATCACAAATTATAATTGCTCATAATATGCAGTCCCATAAGATCAGTAACCAAGAGTTCCTACAGCCACCAATCCAGAGTGGTGGCCTGATCCTTGGAATTTATTTAATGTAGCTGGCAGAAGTCAGTGAGGTGATCAAGATGAAGAAAAGTCAATAAGCCCTGATGACATCCCAGCTGTGAACCTGCAGAAGCCATTTGACCAATAGCTGACCTGGCATGTGCTTATTTCTTTTCTTCTACTTTGTCCACACCTATGGACACTCCACTATGTTGACAGTGATTTCTTAGGGTGTATTCACACCAGGAAAGTCATTTGGTCCGCTTGTTTGGTCCAGACCAAAAGCAAACTTTATTTTTTTCATTTGGTGCGTTTGTTTTCACATTGTACTTTTTGCAAGTTAACTATTACTTGTAAACAAAGCCACGCGGGTGACGATCATTGTTCCCATTGGACAGAAATGACGGGGGCGGGACAGAGCACAGACCAGGAAATTGAGGAAAACAACTGTAGACGTGCTGCGTGCAGGACTGTTCTGCATATTTGTGCCGTCATTACAGCTGCAATATTATTGTGAGGGTGAAGAGCAGCTCATTCAACACAGACTTTGAGACGTTCCATTTATAATTTTAGAACCCCGTCGGAGAATGCGTGCTGAACGCCGACGTTCTCTACGTGCCTTGTCCCACAACAAGCCAGTAGCGTTGCTAAGCAACACAGAGCTTATTAGGTATGATTACCTTACAACACATACCTACCGGCTACGGTGGCTTTTTATGTCCAAAGAGACGTACGCTTTTTGTAGTTGGTTTGGATCGGGGCCAGTTTGTATTCAGACCATAAACGAACCGCACCAGAGTCCGTTTGGAAGCGGACCGAGACCACCTCAAAAAGTGGGTCACGGTCCGGTTGTTTGGTCCTGACCAGGGTTCGCTTGAGTGTATTCACACCTGCACAAAAGGTCCGGACCAAAGGGGGAAACGAACTCTGGTCCGTTTAAAGCGGACCAAAAGTGGCAAGTGTGAATACACCCTTAGCCAATGGGACAAAATGCTGATGCTGTCATGATCTCTTGATCTCATGCAGCTTGACCACACCACAAGAAAAGACGTGAGCAGTGTAATGGGAGTGATGTTCATAACAAAAAACATGTGAGATGACCACCTACTTTGGTTTAACCTCACAATGTAAAGCAAAAAAAAAAAAAAAAAAAACAGTGACCAGGAAACTTTGGATGTCAGCCCAGCTGAACACCTGCTATCTAGGTGCCTCTAGGCTTGTTCAAATCAAGGATTGGCAAACTGCAAGTTAGGAAGAAGCTTGGCATATAGGACAGCAGCTCTATCATCATAAAGTAGATGCCAAATTTTTGGATTACCACATTTATTCCTAAAAACTTCAACATACTTTGTTCGGACAGTATTCATTAATCCAAACAAGGGGTGTAATGATACATGCACCTCACAAGATGTATATATTATACTTAAAAGACAAGAGTAGATATTCTTTATATGTTTGAAAAAATACATTTCTTTTTGGTTTTACAGTTTTTTAAATAATCTGTAATCAGTTCTGTTCATGCCGTACAATTTTAAATTGGTTCAAATGCCAAGCGGTAAACAGTTAGCAAGACGTGGAGTTCCCAGCATGCCGGTGTTGTCGGCCAGCGCAATGAGCTGTCTGTAGTATTAGTCCACTCTGTCAACATAACAGGACAAGTCAAGAACTACTTACATTTCAAACAGCGATAGAATTTTTCAAGCTTGAGGGCCGCACCCTCATACTGTCAGGTTCTGTATTATTGTGTTGTCTGTTGGTGCATTCACTGTGTTCAGCCTCTAGATGGCGTGGAACCTGGAGGAGAGGTGACAGTTGTTCGCTATTCCCCTGATTACCTGCTGAGGACTATTTAAGGAGGAGGCTGCCAACTACTCACTGCCAGAGTGTTGCCCTTAGTGGTACAAACTAGCCACATAATCTTGCATGGTCCATGTCTTGTTCCTCAAGTAATCTTGTATTTTTGTATCCTGCAGGTTTCCTGAAACCTGAACTGCCTTGCATAGAATCCTGCCTGGATAAACCGTTCTTAAGAAGGAAGCTATCCTGTTTCCATGAACAAAGATTCAAGTCCTTCATGACTTCGTTGGATCACATCTGTTGGCAGCCTCCTTGTTCCTGTGTACCTCGGACCTCCATCTGCGAACCCTGTCCACCCTCCTCCTACCTCGCTCACCTTGGATTACAGACACTCCTGGCTTACCATATCCACCAACCCCAGTGTCTCTGGCTAACAGTTACCTGGTTTCACCACTTCCCCCTCTGGCGGGTTCCTCCACCATTTCTTTTCGCATCCTGGTTCCAGTTCCCTGCACTTTTCTCACTGTGGTAAATAAACACGTTAACGAACATTACCGTCTCCTGGATTGCTTCTGCATGTGGGTCAAATCCGTTAAATACAATATGACACATATCCAGGGTAAAAAATAAATGCTTACACCTGCTTAGCCAGACAAAGATAGACAGGACAAACTTCACTTGGATGAGAAACGTTGTGGCGTTTCAATGTTGCAAGATCTCAGGCCATTAGATCTCATTACACACTGTTGGCAGCACTGTTGCCTTGCTGCAAGAAGGTCTCCAGGGAGTTTCCATGGTCTTCAGTTCATGCGTGGGTTCTCTCCAGGTACTCCAGCTTCCTCCTACTGTCCAAAGAACACCCATACACATGCATGTTATTTGCACTATATGTTACATTGATAATGCAGGTATAGAAAAAAGGGTGGAGGGATTTTCTGTGAAATGTTAGCCAGCTCTGTATGTTCATCGTGACCAAAGGAGGTATGTAATATTTTAGTCTGCATTTACTTTAGGCACTGTTTCAGATTACTCTGTTTAAAAGTTTCGGGACACTGATCACTGTTTTATCTCACTATATAGTATATTTATGGCAGAAACATGTATCTCACATTTCAGACACAATGATGCCATCCTGCTCTCTGGGGCTACATCTCAGTTGTGTTAAGGTTAAGAGTCATGGCTGGGAGGGCCATTCCATTATGCAGTGTTTTAAAACATGCTGCTGTTAGCCATTTTTTTATTAGCTAAATTACAGAGGCCCAGACGAAGGTAACTTCATAGCTGGCTACGGACTCATGCACTTAGTTTATTGCCCAGACTTATCTGCCAAAAATTGTATTGCATAGCAAAATATGTCGTGTTAATCTAATTACTTTTTTGTCATTGTTTTGACATTTGAGTCTGAAGGCAAAACAGGATATTTACCAGAATTAAGATCATCCACAATTCTATTTATTCTACAGTAGCATATAACCAGGAGCACCGAGCTGGACTTTGACTGAATCTTTAGCATTATCTCTTTTATATAAAAGCTGTTTTTGGTAAATGCTTTTCTAAGTGGTCACACCGAAAGGTCGATTTGTGGAGAGCAGGATGACAATGAGGTGGAGCAGGTCACAGAGAGGTCAGCGGGAGAAGCTTGGTGGTCTGCAGATGCAGACAGTGACAGTTAAAACCCAGGACCTCTGAGACTGAGACACAGTGCGAAGGTTATCACTGTGATCATCACGCACCTTGCAAGTTCTGGTGACATGTTATGGCTATCACTGACAGAAGCTTAAAAGCAGCCAGTTACATAAAATAAGAGCTGCAGCCATGCATGTAAAAACCCTCTTAGTGCAACATGTGATCTGCATCATGTCTCTTCCTGGTTTATTCTCCAACTGAGAGGCTTTGTGTAAGTTTTGAAGGCATTAGCAAAGTTTACCTGAAACGAAAGGCTTTGGACGAGGTAAGTGATATCTGATGAAGCATGTTGTTAAATTTGCCAGAGCTTAGCCTATTCTAATTCAAAATGGCTCTACACACATGCAAATGCACACTTAAACATCAGCTGAAGCAGATCCAAGAGGTTTTCCCCCACTTTTTAAATCCCTGGGACTCTTTAAGGCTGGTCCCCAAGTAAGAATGAGTCATTGGGCTCACAAAGGGCCACAGTGACAGCCTGGGCTCTGCAGAGCTCTGATAGCAGCAAAATGCCAATCTGGGAGGGGTTTAAGCACTTTATATTCTCTCCACGCTGAGGTCTTAACCCCCTGTGTTGGCCCCCTCACCCCTCACCTAATGTCTCCTCTAATGTGGCTTTATTGACTGTGACACTCAGAGCATGGAGACGATGACCACACAATTAAAAGTGTCCCCAAGAGGAAGGGTCATTAGAGTCACAAACTCTTCTTGCATGTGCACGGGTTTGTGCATGTTCCAAAGTGTGTTCCAATAGCTGATCCACTATCCCGACAGCTCATGAACGTCACTTTCCAGCAGAGACAATGGAAACCACAAACACGCTCCTCATTTTGGGGAAATTACCAGGAGATGAAGAGGATCATGTAATTACATTAGGAGATTGTTGGTTGATCAATGTAACTCAACCCTGATGTACTTAAACCATCCTTTTCATGGTGCTTTTTCCTAAGATTACTTTCCAACACATTCTGCTACACATCTAAGCCTCTAGAAAGTGGGTTATCAGTGAAATCGAGCTCACTAATGCTCGGCAAACATCTCAGAGATCAGCTGGATTAAGGTGAATCTCACTGTAGTGTGTTCAGCTGCCCCATAAACTTGTTCCCTGCAGAACTTAACTTTTTTGAAGAGTGAGTGAGTGTGTGTGTGTATGTGGAGGGGTTGATTTCAAGCAGTTAATGCCACTAAAGATGAATGCACCATGCACGTAGACAGACGTGGGTGCAGAGTGTTTCCGACGGCTTTGACAGCTCTAATTGTGCATCTTTCTTTACCCCCCACCAACCCAACCCCCCCACCCCCCCCACCCCCAGCCTCCATAACGAGGCTGCTAATGGTCTGTGTGACCTCTGACCTCATGTTTCTGTTAGGGTCTTCACAGGACCACAGGCCGGCATCATAATCGCTTCCATGAACTACTCAAAGCCTCTTCAAATGTGACTTTTAGCCCTG